ACTAAACGGCATGACCGTGTAACAGTATAACCCTTGATCAGTGACGAAGGCCGTCTTCTCCTGATCCTTCTTCCATAAAGGTATTTGATGGAAACCAGAGTAGGCGTCCATAAAACTCATCAAAGCATGGCCGGCTGTTGAGTCGACCAGGTTGTCAATTTTAGGCAGAGGGTAACTGTCTTTTGGGCACGCCTTATTCAAGTCTGTGTAATCTACACACATTCGCCAGGTACCATTCGGCTTTTTAACAAGCACAACATTTGCAACCCAGTCTGGGAAGTAACACTGCCGAATGAATCCTGCGTCAAGTAATTTTTTAACTTCGGCGGCTGCCGCCTGACTTCTTTCTTCGCCATGGTTCCGCTTCTTCTGCCTTACCGGCTTCTTTTTTGGATCCACAGCCAGTTTATGTACCGCCAGCTCAGGACTAATGCCTGGCATTTCATGGACTTCGAATGCAAAGATGTCCTTGTATTCTTTCAACAGGTTGTGAAAGTCATCACTTAGGACCCCTAGAGCAGTCGTCCCAACTTTGACTGTTCTGTCAGGACGCGAGACATCTAAGATTAGGTCCGTATGCTCACCAGCCGGCTGAGGGCGGAATTCATCCGACCGCTCCTCTGCTAATGATTGCTATTTTTTATCTTTTCTTGCGGCCCCCATCTGGGATGCCTTTCTTTTCTTGCCGCCTGCTTCTTGAACAGGCGGATTATCCTTGGCATTGTCAATCTTTCCTCCACTAGACCCAGCGGCCATAACAGTGGGCTTGACATCCGAGAGATAACACTCTCGTGCCATCCTCTGATCTCCCCTTAGGGAGCCGACTGTTCCATCGTCTCTCTCAAACTTGAGCAACATAAGAGATGGGATGATTACAGCCTTGGAATTATTTAGGGTTGGTCGTCCCAGAATCATGTTGTAGGCCGAGAGTTCTTCTACCACCAGGAACCGGACTACCATGTGTCGTCCTTCCCCTTTTTCACCCAGGCGGATGGGTAGATCTACTCGTCCTACAGGGTGGACGACTCCTCCTCCAAACCCTACTAAAGGGTGGGAGGCCGGATGTATACAATCAGTTTTGTACTTCAATTTTGACAGACATTTGCTACTGATAAGATCTGAGGAGCTTCCGGTATCTATGAGGATTCGGCCAACTCTCTGATTGGCCACTTTACATTCAATGACGATAGGGTCGTCATGCGGCCCCCTGATCCCTCCTAGATCTTCCTCAGTAATGACAATCTCAGGAAATGAATTTTTGGAGGGCCGTTCTGGGTGAACAGAATTTACATCTAGCCGCCTGATATTGTCTTTGTTGCCCCTAATAGTGGGACCTCCTCCTGCGAAGCCGCCTGCAATAGTGTAGACGACTGCATCATCTGTATCAGAGCTGTCGGCCTGTTGATTCTTTTTGGCCGACTGTTTTTTCGAGGGAGTGCTCCCCTTGGATTTCTTGACAAAAGAGTCAAGATCACCTTGCTCAGCCAGGCGATCTAGGTACCGCATGAGACTGATGCATTCGTTGGTGTGATGACCAACATCTTCATGATAATCACAGAATTTATCTTGGTTCCGGTTGCTTGCAGAACCCTTCATGGGGACCGGCTTCTCAATAGAGATCCGTCCCTTGATTTCTTTTAGGATAGCTTGGCTATCCTTGCTAAACGCATACTTTGGGGAGTATGGTTTGAATTCTTTTTTCTTCTTCTGGACCGGCTGTTTAGAGGAAGCAGCCGCCCAGACCTCTTTTCTTTTCTTTTCCTTGCTTGACGACTGTATCTGTCGTCCTTCTCTTCTGTCGAACTTTTTCCCGTCCGACTGTTTCACTGTACTACAAAGATCAGTTGCCTGTATATAGGCTTCTGCTTCAATCAAGGCCTCCTGAAGAGTCGCCACCCTCTTTCGAACCAGATCAAATTTGAAGGTCGACCCGTCCTTGAGACCTCTGAAAAAGTCAGTATAAGCTACCTCATCCGGTAACCCTTGAATCTGAATTCTCATCAGGTTAAACCGCCTGATGTAGGATCGAAGCCCCTCCTTCTCACCCTGCTGAATTGTTCCCAAATCAAGGGTCGTCTTCTTCGCAGGAATGTTCATGGCGAAGTTGGAGGTGAACAGGTAAGCAAGCGTCCTGAAATTGTTTACACAACCAGTCGGCAGGTTGCCGAACCATTGCTGTGCAATTCCTTTGAGAGTCGCTGGAAAACACTTGCACCAAGTGGGATCATCCAACCCTTGAAGGTACATTAGATTGGAGAATGCCATCAGATGATCTTCTGGGTTAGTAGTGCCATCATAGGCGCCTACTAACACATTTTTCACTTTGGCCGGCTGAGCGGCTTCAGTGATTTCCTTGGAGAAGGCCGACGGCTGTTCACCAAGTCTAAGCAACCGTAGCTGCCAGTCCAAAGGTTGGACATTTTTAGCTGCGTGTCCACCAAACGGAGGTGGCTGCATAAAATACTGTTGCTGTGGTACAAACGGTAAGTTTGGTACCGCCTGGTCGCTCTGAAAGCCTGACTGACGGGAGGTGCCGCCTGACTGACTCTCATGATACGACTGAGTATGCCTCATCGAGGTATTTTGCAAACTTTCTTGAAAATTTGAAGTAGAGGCCGACTCTGACAGTCGGTCACTCTTCTTCTGTTCTAACAGCAGACGAGCGTCTGTGTATGTTTTCTTCGACCCGTCCGCCTGAATGTGACGAACAGGTTTCCTGTTTCCTGGAGTTGGAAAACGGTATTTTGTGAGATCAAGGGCAGGCGGCTCCCACTTCCTGGATTTAGGATGAGGAGTTCCCTCTCGCCCTTGAACCGGCTTCCTCTTGCCTGAGGTGGAAGGTTTCTTAGCCGACTGTTCCTTGGCCGGAACAGGCTTCTTATTAAGCAACTCTTGAATTTCTCCCTTGAAATCCCTCATGAAGGTCATGAGTTCGTTCCTTGTGACGGGAGCAGATCCATCAGTCGCCTGCTGCCGAACAGACGGTGCGCCTGTTGGCTCGCTTGCAGTTTGAAAATGTTCCCGTTCCCTCCTTTCGGTCTGACGGGTACGTCGGGCCCTTAGGGTCCCGTCTGGAGCTGTGTGAGCTTCAACTTCAAGCTCATTGTCAGAATCATGGTCCGACTGGACTTGAGGGTCGTCTAGGGGACGCCTCTCTTCATAAGTCGGTACAAACGTGGATGCCATCTCAGAAGTACTCTCCCCACAGACGGCGCCAAAATGTTTCGGGGTTTTCTGATGTCCTGCGGGAGAGTTACAACACCAAGACTGGAACCGGACGCCTGTACCTGCAAAACAACGAAGACTCCTTGTGGTAGGAGCTCCGCCTCCAACGGTCAAGTTAGTACCTGATTAAGGAGTAATAAATGCGGAAATTAAAGTGATTTGGTCTCTCTAGGCGAGAGTGATTAATGTTTAATCCGTGTGTTATTCAAGTTCTCCCTCTCTTAATGAGGATTAAGAGAGGTATTTATATCCTCGGGAAGCGTGCCACTCTCTAGGTTTAAGGTAAACCTAGGGCTGACTGGGCCTCTAAACAGGATTGGGCCTTGGTGGCCGGTTTTCCCATTTGGCATGGGCGGACACGTGGCGTGTCTCAATTGGTCCGTAGAGGACGAATCTGTGATTGACACGTGGCAGGCTCCTATTGGCCTACGTGAAGGACACGTGGCGGAACCTGGTTGGTCCACTTGTCAGACAGTGATTGGTGGATAAAAATCCCCTAATCAGAAATCATGGGATATGATCATCGTTAAGTGTGTTGTACTAGGTGTTAATTCAATCCGTAGGGATATTAGCATTGATGCATGAGATGTGGCTAAATAGATGGAAGTGGAGAATATTTAAAGAAACACTCTAAATGGGGGAGGATTGTTAGATAATTTAGAGTGTTGTATGGTGCGCGCTCGCGCCCATGTAAAGTGCGACCGCGCCTAAACCGCGTACAGAGCTTTTGTTCATCCTCTCCATAAAATAATTCTCCTATTCTCTTTCAATCTTCTTGCAAACTATTGAAAGATTAACCTCTTAAAATTTAGCCTTCCTTTGTGAATTAATCATCCTTATTCGTTTCGTTGTGCTAAGAACGGATTGAGTGTCTTTTGTATCTCAAAGAGAATTTCCGGTTTAACTCAAGCACTGTTGTGGGGGAAATTAATCACTTTAGGAAAGTGTATACACGCCTAAGACATTATATCAAGGTTTGAGACTCAAGTGGTCACCGGTATTCTCTTGTTCATGTTCGTTGGAAAGGCTTGGAAGTGAGGCAAGTTTGTAATCTTTCACATTAGGATTTGTCATTTGAATTTCTGTAATTCATTGATTTAATATTGCTTTGCTTGTAATACTTTGATTAGTATTGGAATTGTGTATGATTTGATTATTGTCCATGTTTAGGTTTGTTCCCACAATTGTTTAAGTATTTACTTGTTGTAATTGCTGTTTAGAAAACCTAACAATCCCATATGAATCCAAATCACCTTCTTTATTAATAGAACCCTAAAAACATAATTCTCATCCATAGATGAGAATCAAAATCCCAAAAAATTGGGGAAAACCCAAAAATTGGGACAGGCTCTCACAAACGGAGAAAACAAAACAAAGCAAATAACAAACAAGTGAATTAAATCAAAGAAGAAGAGTCTGAAATAGTCTAATTTCTTCCTATTTCCGGCCTAAATGACCAAGAATTTAATACCCTAAAAGAGAGATGAGAGAGAAGAGTAGAGAAAAAGAGAAAAGAGCGTCATAGACATCAAATACACCATATTAGATAAGATTAATCAAACATAAAACTAATAAGAATTCTTACCGTCACCGAAGAGAGAATAAAAAAACTGAACCCATTTGAGAATATGTGGTAAGAGAAATATAAATAGTTTATTGATTAAAAGTAATGCACCTATTCAAAAAATAAAATAAAAGTAATGCAATTAATTCAAAAATTTAATTTTAAAAAAGTGATGCAACAAAAAAGACATGAAGAAAGTATTTTTATTCCAAAAATACTTTCATCGATAAATATCCAATCTATATCCATCAATCCATTAACGTCAGCATTGACTAGACTATTACATCCACCATTATCATTGGATGAAATTAGTCAACCTTTTCCTAACTCCCCATTAAAAAAAAAAAATTAATAAATCAAATCGTATTCCCTCCTCAAATTTCACACTCAATTCTCGTATTTATTCTCAACGGTTCAACGCTCCCTCTCTTTTCAATTAATCTTCATCTTCTTCACATTGAATCAATCGAAACAGGGTTGGAGAGAGAAAATCAAACAATGTCAAAATCATCCGAAGTATTCATCGGATCAATTGATCAAGGAACAACAAGCACTCGATTCATTATCTACGATGGATCTGCAACAGCAATTGGATCTCATCAGATTGAATTCACCCAGTTTTACCCAGTTGCAGGGTATAATCTCTTCATTTTTTTTTTTTTTTATAATTGCATACCAAATGTTTGTGAAAATGCGTCTGAGAATTTTCGTGTTTTTTTTTTCGAAAAAAATTGGTGGGATTTTTAGGGTTTTTTGTGCTGATTGTGTTTATATTTCTGGGTATTGAAATAATAGGTGGGTGGAACATGATCCAATGGAGATATTGGAAAGCGTGAGGATTTGTATTGCGAAAGCGTTGGATAAGGCAACTGCTGAAGGACATAATGTTGATAGTGGATTGAAAGCTATTGGGATCACCAATCAAAGGGAGACAACTGTTGTTTGGAGCAAATCAACTGGGCTTCCTCTTTATAAGGCCATTGTTTGGATGGATGTTCGTACTAGTTCCATTTGCAGGTTCTTATGTAAACTCTTTCTTTTTTCAATTTTTACAATTTATTTTTAATTTTTTAATTTTTTAATTTTTTAAAGTTATTAATGGTTGACAATGGTGTATGAAATTTTGCTTATTTTGTTGGTTCTTGTGTGATTTATGACGTAATTGTTGTGGCTATCATGTCATTGTTTTGATGGCATATTATTCAGTTCTGCTTCTATGCAATTGTTATGTTTATATTACTTGAATGTATGTATTCCATATCATTTTATAGATGATATAAGGTGAATATGGCTGATTACCATGATCGAAAGTCAAGAATTTGTAAATGGAGATGGAATTGGGGAGTTGTTGGGTGGAATCAGGATATTTAAACTTACATTTAAATGTTTTTGCAAAAGATAAAGATGATTGATTAAAGGCTTATTGAAATCTTGACAGAAAGAAAACTCTTTGATAATTTAGTGTCGTTGTGTAGGCTGCTTTCTTTAAAGAGATTTGGAGATAGATATTAAGTAGAATTACTCTTAAGTTTCAAGGTCATTAAAGAAATTGTGAAAACCTGCACATTTAAGAAGGTGATTATGGGCGTTCTGGCAAGTAAATGATGGATTATGGGAATACTCCTGTTTAGTGGAAGCTATAAACTTGGGTTTGTTTTGCAGTCTGGCCAGCATTTGCTGATGTTTGGTCTTGGGCTTACCACTAGAACACAAAAGAGAAAGAAAGTCTGTGTTTTGTTAATGAAAGTCTGTATTAAATTGACTATATCTTAGTCACTTTAATATCTAACTGCCCGTGCTTTCTTCAGGACTACTTCTAAGCTTTCTATCTGGGGTTAGGGGGTTGGGTGGTGAAGGCTGAAGGGAGTATGGACACAAGTATGTGTTTAGGGAAGAGGGACACAAGTATAACTGTATAAGTTCATTATATGCCCAGAGAAAAAGCTTTGCTAAATTATCCTTTAAATCTTTTCCTCGTAAATTGATTTTTTCCAATGTTATCGTTTTGTATCCTTTCCATGAGACGCTAGTTAGCAATGTTTGTTCTTATATTTGCACACAAGTGATGGATGTAAAGGAGGAGCAAGGAGAGGAAGGGCGGGAGAAAATTGATTGGGGTGGGGTTGGATTGGATTATGTAATGCTGCTAGTGCTGGGTGTCCTTTTCGGGGTTTGTTGATTGCAGATGTTTGAGGTATTTTTTAATTTCTCTCCTCCAAATTCCAAAATCAAGACGATGGAGTCATATATCTTATTATCCAAATAAGGATGAATCATTTCTTAGCTTGTGAACTTGATCAATGTGTATTGATCTTTGTTTGCTTGATCAATTTCTGGAGGAATTTAGTCAATCATTATAATTTTACGGTATCTATGATTCTATTTGCCATCTGTTGGACTGAGTAATTATTTTAATGACTGCAATTCAGATTGTTTGTCACTGTTTGAATTTTTTTCTTTTCCATTTCTAGTTAGTACTATTCTGACAAACTGGGTGTAATGTAATGTAGGAGACTGGAGCAGAATTTGTCAGGTGGGCCCAACCATTTTGAACCATCATGTGGTTTGCCTATTAGTACTTATTTCAGTGCGACAAAGCTATTATGGTTGCTAGAGAATGTGGAAGCGGTTAGAGATGCCGTGAAAAGCAGTGATGCTCTTTTTGGAACAGTGGACTCTTGGTTGATTTGGAATTTAACTGGAGGGGTGAAGAATGGAGTGCATGTGACTGATGTATCAAATGCATCACGAACTATGCTGATGAATCTGAAGACTCTAAACTGGGATGAGGAGACATTGAAGGCCCTTGAAATCCCCCTTGAAATTTTGCCAAAAATTGTTAGTAATTCTGAGATAATTGGAAAGATTGAGACTGGCTGGCCTATCCCAGGTGTCCCTATTGCGGGATGTTTGGGTGACCAGCATGCTGCAATGCTAGGGCAGGCTTGTGGAAGAGGGGAGGCAAAAAGCACTTATGGAACTGGTGCTTTTATACTTCTCAACACTGGTGCAGAGATTGTTCATTCAGAGCATGGTCTATTAACCACAATGGCTTTCAAACTTGGGCCTTCAGCACCAACCAACTATGCTTTAGAAGGCTCTATTGCTATTGCAGGAGCTGCTGTTCAGTGGCTTAGAGATGGTCTCGGTATAATAAACAATTCAAGTGAGATTGAAGAGTTGGCCTCCAAAGTTGATTCAACAGGTGGTGTATATTTTGTCCCAGCATTCAATGGACTGTTTGCTCCATGGTGGCGTGATGATGCACGTGGTGTATGTGTTGGAATGACAAGATTTACTAATAAGTCACACATTTGCCGGGCTGTGCTTGAGAGTATGTGTTTTCAGGTCAAGGATGTTTTGGATTCCATGCATAAGGATGCAGGGGAAAAAGGCGAGGTCAAGAATGAGAAGGGTGAATTTTTGCTAAGAGTGGATGGGGGTGCTACTGTGAACAACCTTTTGATGCAACTTCAGGTTCTTTTCTACTGCTTATAATTTTAGAATTCTTCACTTCTTAGTACAAGATTTTCTGCCCCTATCTACATAGCTTCTTTAAGAGTAACTTATAATTTACAATGGCAAAGCTGTGAAAGTTAAGTAATTTTGTATTGGAGTGTAGGTATTAGATAGATTTACTACTGCTATAAACTAAGACTTGCATGATATCATTAGGTAGCTATGATCATTTTATAGCATTGCCCGTGTAATAGTTGTTTCTTTCACTAATAGTTACGCTGCATTATTCTAGGCTGATCTACTAGGTAGCCCAGTGCTACGACCAGAAAATATTGAGACAACAGCCCTTGGAGCAGCCTATGCAGCCGGATTAGCTGTTGGTGTTTGGAAACAAGATCAAATCTTTTTGACTGAAGACAAAGCTAAGACAGCACGCATCTTCCGTCCAACATTGGATGAGGGCTTAAGGAGGAAGAAGGCGGATTCCTGGTGCAAAGCCGTGGAAAGGACTTTTGACCTGGCCGATCTTTCTCTGTGATCTGCGGTTTGTCCTTCACTTACAGCGCTTATCATCCAGTGGTTATAAATCCTTACATTCTTCTATAATATATGCATTAGTTAGTTTCAAATATTTTATACAAAAATTAAATAATTTATTAGTAGATTTTACTTCATACTTATTCCATACATGATTCCTCAACCAAACTAAAATTAATCTGTATAGTTGGTAACATTCTTTCTCACATTTACAGAATGCAATCTGGATGTTAGTATTCGTAATTTATAGATTTTAACAGTACAATTCTTGATATAAGTTTCTCATTCTGAATTGTATAGATAGTAGCTGAGCACGACTAGTTCTTTTGTCATATATTATTCTCAGCAGTGGCCAAACTAGCGGTCTTGGTCTAGTGCTAGGAGCTCTAATGCTTTCAGAACTTAATTACCCGACATTACTGTGAAATTCATTAGAGAATACCTTTATATCTGCATACTGGGCATCAAAAAATTTTAACCCTTTAATTTTATGAGGTTTGCGTAGTTATACTACTATTATATGCTGCTTAAGATACATATTCCAATGGTATTGTAGTTACGACGGAATTTGCTGTGAAGTTTTGTGGAATGATAGAGGTTATTTTGAGGGTGATTTGGGACGCGTTGTGCAAAATATGTACATCAGTCTGATTGATTTTTAGATATTTAGACATTACATTAAAGTCTGATGGAAAAACATATGGGTATACATATTACAAACTGAAGTATTTTGGTATTATCATGACGATCTGCTTAGTACAGTAATACATTGAAGGAAATTAAATCTTCACTACAGAGATATCAATGAGATTGGCATCACCAATGAAGATGCCAATCAATGATCTCAAATAATGCTTGACGTCATTAAGGATTGACGTAGAGGGTTCTATAGTTGCTAGGAACATAATAACACAGGACATGCTAAAGCTTCACAAGAAGTCTACCTTGTCAATTCCACAAGCACTATCTTTATTAACTGCGTAGTTAGTTAAAGGCATTGAGGTGAATGAAGATAGATCATATGAATAATGATAATTAAAAAACTCTAGTGCTCTAATGCAAAAGGAATATGATTTATGTGGGCAAACTCTCATCGGACATGAGTTTGTGCTTAGCCCAATGAAAATTATATGACACTGGTTTGGCTTTTTTATAGTCCATTTTGATCGCTAGCCATACTAGAACACCTTAAGATTTCTCATACAAAAAAAAAAAAAAAAACCTTAAGTTTTATTTGTGTTATGCTATTAGTATGGCAGTGTTCTTTTTTAGGATTGTTACTTGTAAATTACAGACTTCAAACATTACATCAAATTATCATAGAATAAAATTAGAGGGGAAACTGCTTACTAGATTACTAATCAAAGTTTATTGTACCAGATAACATAATAGCTTGCTACTATAATACAATCACAAGAGATAGAATACAGATATTTAGTACAAAGACCGCCATGACATTGGTAACCACCAAAGAATATACCAATCAACAAAATCAAAACAAGCTTGACGCCAACGAGGGTTGATGTGCAGGACTGCAATCGTTGCTAGAAATATAGTTGCACACGACATTCCAAAGCTCCATAAGAAGTCTTCTACAAAAGTTTCGTGGTGGTCTCCATCTCCTCCGTCTTTGGTAAGAGAACTAGGCGGCATCACTCGTGTTTGATTATGTAAGTCACTTCCCGGAAACCCAAATAGTCCAGGGTTCCCGAGATAGCTGCTCTCATCAAAGTCACCAAACTGTCCTGTAGCTGGCACTCTTCCAGACAAGTTGTTGTATGACACATTGAAGACAGCCAAGAAGTTGAGCTCAACTAGTTGGGATGGGATGTTGCTGCTCAAATTATTGAAGGAAAGGTCTAAACCCTCAATTTGTTTCAGATTGGAAAAGCTACTAGGAATGGGTCCTGATAAATAGTTATGTGAAAAATTCAAGGAATGGAGTTGTTCAAGCTCACCTAGTTCTGGCGGGATCAAACCCGTAAGTTTGTTGCATGACAAATCTAACACTGACATAGTTAGTACTTGCTTGGGTCCTGCATATGTGAGATAATCATTCTTTACGAGGACATTCACTTCTTCTGGATTTGTATACTCAGTATAAAAAGAATCAATTGATCTCCTTCCAAATGACATATTTTTGAAACATGCTGGTACCACTCCAGATAGGTTGTTGTGTGATATGTCTAATATATTTATATGAGCTAACTCACACAACTGTAAGGGTAACTGGCCTTGTAGTCGGTTACCACCTAGTTGGAGTACTTTCAAGTTTCGGAACTTACTATTAATCCAATATGGAAGCCGACCGGATACCTTGTTGTTGGAGATATCAAATGCTTGCAGATTCCTTGACTTAATAAGGGCATCCTTGATTTTCCCACCAAAATTATTGTTACTCAACTTTAACCAGGATAAAGAAGGTAGGTTCATATGGTCTGGAATTACTTCTCCTTGCAAATTATTGTTTGATAATCTCAAAGTCACTAAGGAGCTTAAGTTGCTGAGCAACCTGCTTGGTAATTCCCCAGAGAAGTTATTGTGGGACATATCCAATCCTTGTAGATTTGACATTTGACTGATTGAAGATGGAATTTGTCCTTCAAAAGAGTTCTCTGCCAAGTTTAATGTTTTAATGTTGGGGAGCACAAGACCAATAGTTTTAGGTAGCTCACCACAAAAACTATTATTTGAGATTGACAACTGTGTCATCTCATAAAGTGGTTTCGTATGGTGAGGAAGCTGAAGATTTCCTGTAAGAAAGTTGTTAAACAAGAACAAATCTTGAAGGTGAGAGTTATTGGTGAGCAACCAAGTTGGGAAAGATCCCACCAAGTTATTGCCGGAAAGGGCAATGCCATTCAGATTGTATTGATATGACAAAAATTTGGGAATAGTTCCATGTGGCTCATTCAACCTACAATCCCTTAAGTCTAAGAATTGCAACTGAAAAGTGGGTGTCCATAATGCATCTTCTGTTTGGACTTGTAATTTATTTCTTGATAGCCCTAAATATAGAAGCTTAGAGTGGTTGGCCAAAGAATGCATGGAAAATTTGCCCTCAAAGTTGTTATATGAGAGAACCAAGGATTGCAGGGATGTGAAGTTGTTAATACAAGGAGGTATGCTACCCTTGAACATATTATAAAAAAGATACAATTCCTGAAGATTCCTTAATCTACAAAGCCAAGTACCTGCAAGTGGTAATTGATTTACGATCAAGCTTAGAAAATGTGACATTAACTTTTTAGATTCGATCCTATATATATGTCACTTACAGTCTTACCTAACTAATTGCCAGGTTTAGATTCTATGCCTGACTTTGTTTGATAAATTGGGACATTAATTATAAGTTCACAATGTGAGAAGCAATTCAAGTAAGATGCACGAATTATGTTTTTTTTTTTTTTTTTTTTTTTTTTTTTTTTTTTTTTTTTTTTTTTTAAGTTGCAAAATTATAAAAATGCCACTAATGAAACTAATACATATTTTAAATAAGTTACAATTTTTGTTGATGATTGATCAAAATCCAAAATGGTCGTATTCGTATTATTATCTTCTCATTTGACAAATCTGTATATATATTCAAAATTTTATAATTTTTTACCAAAATATAAATTAAAATATTGATGTTATAAAATGTGCATTAATAAGTATGAAATCCTCAACTTTGTAATTAAAAAAGAATGGAGAAAGATAAGAAGTATGTATATACACGTGTGTGCGTCAAGTGGCTTGGTATGAGCTAATTAAACTATATACTACCTCCGTTTCTGAAAGTTCGACTCACTTACTATTTATGGGGTTAAAATAAAATAACTTTGACCACATTTAATTTAATGACTTATACTATATAAATTAATTAGCATAAGGGATCTTATTAGATTCTCCTTATTATAAATTTTTTCAAATATCAACGTTTTATAATTTTCACTTATACATAGCTGAAGATATTCATGCTCAAAGTTGTTCATTAGAGACCGCACAAATGCAAAGTGAGTCGACTTTCAAAAACGGAGGGAGTACTTCGTATATGAAACTATGAAAGAGTTGTGTGTTAAGCCATAGATGGCGACTTACCTTGGATATCACTAGAAAAATAATTGTAAGACAAATCCAGTACTCGTAGCTTCCACAAATTTGACAATTCTGTAACGACGAAGAAGATCCCAATAAATAGGAAGTATACAAAAATAAATAAAGAAAATGTGCCCTATGTTTTTTTAACTGTCCAATTTAAATAGGATGCATATCCTAATAATATAAAATTTTATGATGAATAATACCCTTTATATATTATCTACGAATATAAATTATATTTCTTCGTAAAAAGTTAATATTTAAAAATTATAAATTGAAAAGATTATAACAAGTTGGTATTTTTGCTGTCCATCTCAAAGACTGATTAAAAGATGTGTAACGTAGAAAAAAGCTTCAATTGAAACGTGCAATTACCTTGGTACAATGGGAAGCTGGATTCATTCAAATTAGCACTAGTGAGCCTCAATTTTCTGAGTGATGTGAGATCACTTACAGAGATGTGACCACTCCCTAAATTGTTGCCATTCAACTCCAAAACCCGTAAATTCTTCAAAGTGGAGATCTTTGTTGAACCTAATAATAAGAAAGACACTAGAATTGTCAATTACTAATATATATGCACTACTTAAACAGAACATAATAAATGCTATATTATACACTTTCTCATTGTATATTGCAATGCTATGATAATACCGTCATCCTCTACCAAGCCGTTGATGTCATTATACGACAAGTCGAGGGATATGAGTTGGCTAAACGGGCGGAACAATGACACATTGAATAGCCATGGCTTTTTCATTGCATCTTCATCATCTCTCGCCACTAATTGCCCGAGGATAAGCTTGGTAACGCGTCCAGAGGACACATTGCAGCGAACCTCAGACCATTTGCAACAATTAATCTCTCTGGGGTTGGACCATGGAATTGTCGAATTATTTGGGTTTGAATTATATGAATTCATATATGCCTTAAGTTCAAGTAAAGCAAGACGCTCCTCTTCTAAACAACATTCTACATGACCAAATTGAAGAACTAGAAAGGGTGTTACCAATAGTATTAACCATATCATGTATTTTTCCACTAATTTCCACCTAATCATCATGATTACTTCTAACACAGAGAATTAAGTGTTTAAACTCTTTATTTTTAACTTGTGAAGGTAATGCCTTTATATGCAGGGATCTCTATGCTAAGCGCAGGCTTAAGTTAAGTCAACTAAAGAGTCAATGGGTCAACTAATTAAAGAGTACGGAGAGTACTGATGGGGTGCCTTTATACTTTTTTTTTGTTTTTTGGAAAGAGGAGGTTCATATACTTAGACTAATTAAAATAGATTTAAATAATTACTTTTACTACTTACAATTTACAACATCAATGGTATAGGATTATTTAAACACCCAATATCCATTTCATTCTCTTTTATTGGGATGCAATAGCAACTAGATGCATAGCTGCTATTTGTTTGGAATACATATAGGAGGGCTAATTGGTAAATTCACTTAATTTTTGTGATTTTTTATTGCTATAGTGGTATTTTTAATGTACTATTATACTTACAATGGTATTTTTAATGTACTATTATACATGGATTTTATACAACTAGATTATAAGTTGTTTTAGTAGTACTATTTATAGTCATTATACGTAACAGTGGTACAAAATTTGTACCACTAGAAGAAAAAAAAATTCACCACTCTTTTGTCTTAGAGCAATATTATTGGAGAGGAATAGAGGATACTTATATCCTCTCTTCTACTCTCTCTCCTTTTCCTCTTTTCACACATCATATTCTCTTTGTTCCACATCATTTCCCACTATCTCCTTCCTCTTCCTCTTTCTATTTATTTTTCCACACATTAAAGAGGATCCTCTCTCCTTTCCTCACTCATACTTTATATACCCCACCACATATTATCTTTTTTAACAAAACATTTAATTTTAGAACAATTATAATTTCAAGTGATTAAAAAATAAATTAGCCTAATTAATTATTTTTTATTAATATTGATAAAATAATCGAGTTGTAACCTTTAAATAAATTATATTATTAAGGTAAAATTTGCATTAAATAACGATCAATACAAAGATAACTAGTAATGTTGTTGAAAATGGTAATGTTGTTGCTATATTCTATTTCGTTACTAGTAATGTTGTTGCTATATTCTATTTCATTGCATCTGGATGTTGTTGAAAATAGTGATTACTTGCACTTAATGTGTTTACATTGCGAGAAAAAAAGGTCTTCGCATGCGAAACCTACGTCGGAAATTATTTTCATTGTATACTGATAAATAAATGAAACATAACTAAAACAATTACAATTTTATTTGTTAAATATATAACATTGATAATTCACAAAAATAAAAAAATATAACACTGATAATAATTAACTAACAATTAAACTAATTAACTAACAATTACCCTAACAAATTCTAACATTGACAATAATAAAACCGAATTTTATCTATTGTTGTTAATTAGAAAAATACACTGACAATAATTAAAAAACAATGACAATATTGATCAAAAAAAAAAAAAAGAAAAATAATGACAGTAAATGAATATAAAAGACAATACTAACCCTAACATTCACAATGATAATTATAATTGCAATTACTACTAATTATTCAAAGCAAAAACCTAGTACTGAACTCGTCGTTTTTTTTTCCAATTAAGTTACCGTTTTTAATTTATTACCGTTATAAAATTTGAACCAATGTTAAAATTGTCACCCAAAGCCGTTGGTTTTGGTAGCTGTTGAGTTTTTCCTACATGCATGCTTTTGTAGAACTCTTGCAAGTGGCTGGTTATGTTTTTTCTACTAAAACTCATCGTTTCAGTGAATAGAAAGGCAAAAAAAATATTAAATGATGAGTTTTGATCCACTGAGATATGCTCTTCCGAATTTTTAATATCCTCTCTCCAAAGAGGATATATTGCATTCCTCTTTTAAGTAGTATCCTCTCTTACATTTTTACATCAAGGAGGATACTACTTTGGAGGAGAGAGAGTGGAGGGAGGATGATATATCCTCCCCAATGTGTGTGCTCTTATAGCTGCTATTTACTTGCCATGTAAATAGCAGCTATGCGCCAATACTTAACCCTTTTATTGGTGCTTAATATATTTAATAAACTTGCTTGCTTATTTAACTTTTTTTTAATAATTAACTTAAAGTACGTGTTAAGAGATAGAGACAATGTTAAAAGTGACAACATAAAAAAATGAAAATACGATGAAATAAAGTTTATGTTACACCATCTGTTCCTAAATAATTGACAAACTTCCATTTTTCGACCGAACCCGAATAACTGAAACATTATTAAAATGGCAAGGATGCACTAAATATTTAATTATTTTTCTATCTTACATAATAACCCACCACTTTTAAAGTTTACGGAGTATTAAAAATTACAACCCACATTCAAATAGTCCGGTAGTTTCACTTTACAATTCAATAACCCACCTAACCATGCACTGTACTATTTCTATGAATAAAATAATATTTCACCAACTTCACTTTACAATAAACAATTTAATAAAACTATCCTACTCAAACATTTCTTAAACTTTGTGGCTATTTCAATATAAAATGTCAATTAAATGGAAACGAAGGGAGTAGAAATGTAGAATCTTTGTCATTGTTCAATCGTCATAAAAATGGACGAGGCATGGGAACTTATTTGTCATATTTTTCTCTAACCAAACAAGGACAAGGCATAGTCACACAGGTCATGGTCAGTGTGCTGAGCTACTTGACTTGACCTTTCATAGTTTGTAACCCCTATTTACACGATTAGCAGAAGATAAAAGACTTAAATTTAACCTATTCATCCATAATTTCTAACCCCTAAAATCAGGTTCAATCATAGAAACGACTTGAAATGGGACACGGGAAAGTTCTTAGCCTCAAGTAACTTGTGTCCTAGAAAATTCTATTGTAAATTATGTTTGTGCTAAGTTGTGATTAGTTGTACCCATCTTAGAATCAAAAGCCATTGGTGACAAATTAAGCCTAAATATTTATTTTTGTTACCAAAAAAAAAAAAAAAAAAAAAAAAAAACCTAATTGCGCTAAAAGTCTATCTGTTATTATAATTGTTAAACATATACGTAGTTGCTACACAATAGCGTCATTATAACTTGAATATAATATGGCATGTCAAGCTACAAAGTCTTGTAACCCATTACTGGAGATTGCTAATCAAAAATAAGAAAGCTTGTTAATTAGACCTAAAATGAGAAAGCATATTTATGATGAAATTAACTACAAAATACAATTACATTCAAGTGATTAAGTCAATTAACGAGTCGTCCAATACAATAAAGTATGGGACAAGGTCACAGAAGTCATGCTCAATGGTCATTACATGATGCTTCCTGGCTATGGAATACCAGATGAGTAGTGATAGACTAATAATAGACAAAAGTTTGATTATTTTCCCATATTTCTAACCCCTAAAACAATTTCACTCAGAAGAAAAAGAGCCTCTATGTGGTCTACGTTGCTTGTGTTTTATCCTTAATATGGAATTGTTTAAGTACTGACCCGACTGACCTGGTCCCGCTCCCCTTGAATGAATTGAACTATGTATGGGCTATGGGCATCAATTAGATCAGACAATTACTAATGATAAGATAGAATGATTGGTGGCCATTACTCCATTAGTTGTTCTTTTAATGTCTGTCCAGTTTTTTTTGCAATTCTTGATCTCTTCGAGTTTATACCATACTACAAACAGAGGCTTACTTACAACTTTGATCTTAATTGTTGTTTCCGTAGATTAAAAACAATGCATAAATTGAGTTGAATCAACTTTATAAGTACTATTAAGTCAATGCAAGAAAAATACGAGGAAAATGTGCAGCAACTGCTTCATCTTATAGTTTTCCAGTCAATTTACTAGTAATAATTTCTTGGTATAATACTAATCTTTTTTCAGACAAGTCACTTTTGTGTGGTGTGAAGTGTTCTTAAATTCCACAATTTGGTTGACCTTGACTTTCAAGTGGCTTAGCTTCAAGGGTTCAATTGATCCGGTCAAAAAAATAGCTAGTGGGTTATGTCCCGTCAAAAAAACAAGAAAAAAAAGAAAAAAAATAATGTGATTAGTGGGTAATGAATTTATCATACTTCAATTTAAGCCCAACGTTTAACATAGACAAGGCTTGTTATTTAACATAGACAAGGCTTGCTATACTAAGAGAGAGGGTGACTAATTTATAGGCCTAGTGGATTATCGATTATTCAACTATTACCAATTTGTTTAAAATAGATTTCTGTTAGGCTTTGTAAGTGGGTAAACTACTAAACTCTCATCACATGGATTCGATTTAACAAAGGATTAAATTAGTTGACATTAGTACTTTTTGAATTAATAGGTTAACAAATGTGATAAAATAAACACGTCAATTGAAAATTTAATAGTAGAAGAATTAATTAAAACGGCTCTCACAAACACTATTAAATTTTACCCACAGTCTTCCCTTGTAAAAACTTGGAAGATTACAAGAATAATTGATAATTTGGCCATATATATGAGATTTTATGATCGTTTGATCCAACGTAACGGAATTGATCATCGAATTGCATGCCATGCTGTGTAGACATATCCAGCAGCCATATTTTGATGCATTGTACTCCATAGGACAGTAATCAAGTCTCTTCATCACTGGAATTATGAAACACATACATACAGGTATATCATTAATAGGGATTAAAATTCATTGTTACAGCGGCAACATACAATGATAGTTTAATTCCTAAACATAAAAGACAAAGATATCTAAGCCAATTCCTACGGAAAACATACTCATCAAAAACTGCTTGTTACTGATTTCATCATATGAGCTCAACGTTTAGTATAGATCAGACAAGATAATTTATTTCACATAACATCAAATTATTAATACTAATCAGATCATTGACACTGTTAAGATATACGATAAGACACATGCATCTATATGACTTTTAAGATGGATTTCTGTTGTGGTTGTATGCAGACAAACACTAAGTTATTATTGAGTGAAAATGATGGGGATACTAAATTATCAAAGTTGATTGTACCCATGATAATATATATAGTGTAATATTATTACAGGAATAAATATTTAAGAGATTCGTCAATACAAAGACCTCCATGACATTGGTAACCACCAAAGAAAATAGCAATCTACAAAATCAAAACAAGCTTGACGCCACCGAGAATTGATGTAGAGGATTGTGATCGTTGCTAGAAATATATAAGTGTGTTATCTATCACCGGGATTCTACTTTAAGTAACGTATTGATCCTACCCACCAGAATGAATAGACCTATGTATAAACAACACTTAATTACTAATGATAGTATATGGAACTATGGAACGCTAGGTGATTATTACTCCATATATCTGTTAATGTTTGTCCCATTTTTTTAGTAGTTCATCTGTTGTTATACTCCATCCATGTTACTTTATTAATTTACATTAGGTTGTATGGGAGCCATAACTTGACTCTCATAAAGTCATAATATCTACTTTTGGTTCTTAAAAATGTAACATCAAAATATTTTACATCACATAACATCAAATAGTGAGTAGTCATCGTACTCCGTATATGAGTTAGGATGGCTGTATTAAAAACGCAAGGTAACTAATTTATAGACCTAATGGATTATTTAAGTACTATCAATCGGTTTTGAGATCTATTTTTGTTGGTCTTGTATATACGCAGGGAGCTGATGGGTAAACTTTCGTCAAATACGAGTTTGTGCTTTGCCCAATAAAGAACTATTTGACACTAGTTAGTTTGACCTTTTTTTTTAAGGTTTATTTTTGCCAAGTTTAACTCCCATTTTAATCACTAGCCCATTCCAGAAACCAAATGTAATCTTAAAAAACTAAAGATTTGTTTAAG